CCTCCTCCTCCTCCTCCTCCTCCTCCTCCTCCTCCTCCTCCTCCTCCAGACAAGCCCTTATAATGCCCAGAAGATAAAAGCTCCTAGGAGGTGAGTTTTACGTTACTTATTTGAAGGACTTTCTAATGCAGGCCTCAAGTTTTACAAGGTGGACATCAGTGCGTTTATGGGGCCTGTCGGGTGGAGGCCCTTGAGTTCCTCCACCACACTAGTTGTTAATAGCTCATCCTTAGGGAAAAGACCTTCTGCTCCCTTTGGGGGTTACTAAGCTGAGGATCCAGATGGGTTAAGTGTCTCACTCTGAACTTAGAGGAAAAGTTCCCTAACTCTTCGCGAGCCTTTTATGTTTCATTTTTAAAAGTAATTTCCATGTTTCTTATCGATTCCGGCGTTTTCCCTCATGCCGGAGAGCCTGCCCTCCAAGTGTACCTGGAATTCAGGTTATAGGTTTTCCTTTCCAGAGCAGGGTGCCCTTCCATCTAACCTTTCTCCCCGATTTCCCACAAACAAGCTGAAGGCACTTACATTGGCATGTTGCTAGGCACGAGGTTACTGCAAGCAGCAACAAAGTCCGCGTATCCACAAAGCTGAGCATGTCTAGCACTTAGACATGCAGACTCCTTGTGTCGCAGAGCCCCTGGGTCACCGGCGGAGGTATCACCTGGCGGGTGCGGGCATGCAGTCGTGGCCAGTACCTCCAACTTAGCCGAAACCTCCTGCTGCCGTGGTGCTAAAATAATAAAGCTCAGATCTGCCCTATTTATACGGCAAATGTTTCCCTGGCCCGAGGATGCCTCCAAAAGGGCCTCCACCAATGGGAGGGCTGGGGCTGGGGGCCCGGGCAGCCACAGCTGGGAGGAGACTGCGGGGGCGCAGAGGAGGGAGCAATCGGGGGAGGGACGTGGCCACGGGGCTGGCTTCTTAAATTGGTTCCATTCTTTTTGAGGACGTGGACACTTTTGAGGCTTTCAAGGGGAAACTCTGACTCGCTGTCTGCATACCTCCGCCCTCCCCATCCTCCCGCCCTACCCCCTCCTCCACTTTCCAAATTTGGAAACGCTATGGGACACGTCGGAGAGCTCTGCAGCCCCGAGGTGGGCAGAGTTTGCAGATCTCCGGGCAGCCAAGCAGCTAGAGAGGGATCGGGAGCCCAGCGATCAAAGCAGGAGCTGTCCAGTCCTGCCTCACCTGTGCCTTGTAGGCCACCTGTAGGGTGGAGGGCTCCGGCGGGCGCGGAGGGGGCAGGGAAGGAGGGAGGAAGACTTGACTGCGTGGCGCAGCCGGAGCAGGCCTCCCCGCCCCTCCACCTCTCCACCCCGCCCCCAGCCCCGTCCAGCTTTTCTCCAGTTTTGGGGCTCTGTGAGCCCACTGTTTCAGCAGTGATGCACTCTCTTTCTCTTATAACTTTGGGAAAGAGAGGTCTTTCCCGAAGGCAGGGCTGAGCTGCGGGCTGGGCAGCAGGCTCCAGGCTGCTCTGCACCTGGCTACAGCGAGGATAGGTTTTGCAAACTCTAGACTAGACCAAGTCGCCTGGGAAGGTCCTTAGACCTCCTAGCTTGCCTTTGCTGAGGCTAATTCCAGGGTTTTTTTGGGGGGTTATCCGACATTCCGAAATGACTGCAACCGACCTGGAGACCGAGAACCTCTTTCTCAGTCTATCCTTTCTGAGGCTGCGGTGGGGGATCTTTCATGTTTTCCAGTCTCCTCTCCTCTTCTCCACGGGCTCCTTGTCTGGATTTACCAGCTCTATCCTGAGCCTGGACCCCTCTACCTTCCTGTGAGCCCCGGATCCCCCTTGACCTTGCTGCCTACTCTCTGTCCCATCTCTTACAGCCACACCCAAGCACCTATCCGATTTCACCCTAACTCCTCTCCTCTTTAAGGAGAAAACGCCTAGCACATCCAGAGGGCCTTCTAATTCGAGCTTGGGGTCTTCGTAGTCCTCGCTGGTAACACCCCAAGCAGTGCCCCCACCAAAGTGGATGTTAACTCTCTCCCCAACACCCAACATCCCTCCCTGCTGATGTGGCAGAGTTTGAAGCAGGCAGTCGTCAGCATTTGGTGGGAGGCCCTGGACCTAGAAAGAAACAATGAAAGTGGAGAAAACTAAACAGGAATCTTTCTTTCTTAAAGTGAGAAACAGGTTTCAATTGTAACTGTTTTTACATATGTCTTGGAGGAAAATAGTTGATTAGGCGTTTGTTTTAAAGGAGGAATTTTTTAATGCTCACAGTTAGATCTCTGTTTAATAATTTTGTGACTCCAAATAAGGAGCAGCTTTTCCTGGGGATGGGGACTGTTACTGCCTCCGTCCAACCTTCCACTCCCTACTAGGGAGAGGAGGAGCTGGTACCTTGACCCTGAGGTGGGAGGCCAAAGGTCCTGTGTCTTTTTCTAAAGCCTCGTGGGATGCATTCCAGGCCCTAGGTTTGAAAGGCCTTATCTGCGTGTGTGTGCGTGTGTGTGTCCATGTGTGTCCCCTCTCCTCTGCTTGGCCCCCAGTGAGGTAGCAAGAGCCTAGCGAGAGTGCTGCTCTATCCCAGAAGTCATCGCAAAGGGGGCATCTTTAGGTCAGTTCTGTCTCTAAGAAACAGAAATGAGTGGGCTGTAGTTCCTTGAGAAACTTTTTCCCTTTCTTCCCCCCATCTCCCTCCCCCTTTTTTGCTTTGCCTTAAGGAAGAATTTCTGCAGAAGTTAACTCTATCATAACTTCTGTAAATAAAAGGGACTGAATATTCTAAAGCAGGTTACTCTTTCTAAAGGTAAAAAAAAAGTTAATGAAAGTAAAAGTGGATAATAAAAAACTGTAATAAACTCTTCTCAGAGATAACCTTGGGTGATTTTTGAAGTAACTAGGAGTGAAAGAACTTGAAAGGGTGTCTGGTCAGTCCTAGAAGGGGGTTTACAAAGGAAGAATCCACATTCAGTTTTTTTTTTTTCTAACTAGGCAACAATGTTTGAAGTTTTCTAGGTTCTAGCAACAACAACAAAAGACCTGAAGTTTAATTGTGTATTCCAAGAACACTTTTACCCTTTCCCTGAAATATCGCCATTACAGAACTAAAAAATGCTTTTAGTGGAAATCATTTTTATCAGGAAAGAAAAACTTTAATACTACATCATAACACCTTTTATTCCCCTGCATTTCAGAACAATGAGCAATAATTTCTAAGAATCGTTGTTACCACTCTGCTGAATTGCCTTTGTAGGGCATACGTGTACCTTTGTCCTGTGTTGCTGAGAGTTAGAGACTAATTCTGAGCAAAATGACTCAGGGTCATAATGCAACAGATTTATGAAAGAAACCCTCCAAATACCCATCAGTGAGGTTATCTGATAAAGCTTCTGGGGTCAAGTTGGCTCAATCACTGGAATTGCAATAGATACCCAAGATTTTAAACATTTCATTGTAGGTTTTGTTGTGGCCAAAATAGTTTAAAATGTAGAATGTTTTTAGACGTGTATTATAATTTCTCTTTTAGCTAACAAAGAAAAATCCTCGGCAAGTTTTTGAGAACAAGCACACGTCTATAAACTTAGAGAAGAAACATCTCTGCTAAAGGCAGCAGAGTGAACTGATAACTTGAAAAGCATTCTTGGAAACTGATGCAAATACCAAATGCTGCTGGGCCCCCTCCCTGCTGATGTGGCAGGGTTTGAAGCAGGCAGTCGTCAGCATTTAGTGGGAGGCCCTGGACCTAGAAAGAAACTATGAAAGTGGAGAAAACTAAACAGGAATCTTTCTTTCTTAAAGTGAGAAACAGGTTTCAATTACAGCTGTTTTTACATATATCTTGGGGGAAAACAGTTGATTAGGTGTTTGATTTAAAGGAGGCATTCTTTAATACTCACAGTCAGATCTCTGTTAAATATTTTTGTGACTCCAAATAAGGAGCAGCTTTTCCTGGGCTTGGGGGAGGGACTGGTAGAGCTGCAAGGGCTGACCCAGAACCTGAACTGAGCGCCCTGGTGAGGGCCCTGATGGTTCCCACGTGGGGAGGGGGAGAGGAAGGAGGGAGGGAGAAGAAAATGAATAGAAGAAAAAACAAATAAGGAGTGGGGTGGGGTCAAGACAGAGTGGAGGGATGGAAGAAGGGAGGCAGAAGAGACTAAAGATTCCTACAACTTTGCTGCTAGACGGTTAATACCTGGGTCCCTATTTCCAAATGATTTTCTATGAAAGAAAAGGTAATTTCTTTAGCTTCCTACAGCCCACTGATTACAAACTGGGCCATATGTTTACATACAGCAAGAAAATGGTTGAGAGTCTGGCTGATACGGAAATGCAGAACAGCCTGACAAGGCCCTAATGTCTTAACCTTATATTTCTTTCTTTGATCAAATTAAACATCGAACTGACACCTTCTTTCAAACATTCATTGAGGATCCGCTCTGTGAAAATCTAGTTCATCTCAAAATTTAGAATGAGAAAATTTTATGTCATTCTAATTCCAGTTCTAGTTGACTTGGCTGCCAAGCAATTGCTAAGAAGGTATTTGCTGATAATGGGGTAGCTGAAAAGAGTTAAGGGCTTATATATGTATAATATATATAAAATAAATACATCTGTGTGTGTATATATATGTGTGTGTGTATATATGTGTGTGTGTGTGTATATATGTACATATATATACACACACACACACATATATACACACATGTATTTATTTTTGAGAGGATCTCACTTTATCACCCAGGCTTGAGTGCAGTGATGTAATCTGGGTTCACTGCAGCCTTGACCTCCTGGGTTGATGTGATCCTTCTGCCCCAGCCTCCTGAGTGGCTGGGACTATAAGTGCATGCCACCACGCCAGGCTAATTTTTTGGTATTCTTTTAGAGATGGGGTTTTGTCATGTTGCCCAGGGTGGTCTCAAACTCCTGAGATCAAGCAGTCCACCTGCCTCTGCCTTGTAAAATGCTACGATTACAGTTGTGAGCCACTGTGCCCAGCAAGGGGTAATTTCTTTCTGTGACATTTGTTTGAAAAGCATAGCGACTCCTGCTCTCTCATATCAATTAGGATATTCAGTTTCCATTGATTATTTAAATGAGACAAGACATATGGTTTTCTTTTCTTTTCTTTTTTCTT